AAACTTACAAATTACCCTTTACATTTACCAAATTTTTTTTCTCTGTGCGGTGTTACATTTCAATAAACTCTCACGAGAAGACTCACATTCATTCTCGGACATTCATATACATATTAACAAACACGACAAAAATGGAACTAGAAAAAAAAAGAAATTCGCTTCACCTGACTTTCTGTTTTTCTGATTTTCGTTTTTCTTTCCAATCATATAAATATAAAATAGGCTTTAAATGTACACAGATAAGCATAAAAGCATTATGATTAAATGAAATATTCCTTTATTTGTTACTTCCGAGAGTCAAGCGCAATAAGGGCACACTATATAAACGCCATCTATTAATAACCGACTAACTACAATGTAAATCAAACGTATCTGTTTCCTCTTTTTATTTACTCCCTTCCTCTCTCGCTATACTTTTACATTGTAGTTAGTCTGTTTTACAAAGATGTCGTTTCTGTGTAAGATGTGTGACGTCACAATGTATTTATATGGATAGCGCTCGACTCTCGGTTACTTCATCAATATTGTAGACACTAAAAATACATTGACACAAAAATGTAGCTGCAGATAATAGGTCACGCTGAAAGTTTTTTATGTAATAATCTCGCTTTGACACGATGGCAATTTGCTTTTGAATTGGATACATAGATGATGCTATACAATCCAATCGAATTGCCATTGATAAAATTCTTAAGATATAACTTAATCATAAGGGATCTAACTTTTTCTTTATAATTGTTTATCCTTCGCCCCTTCTCCAAATCACATGTATACATTGAGAAATCGAAAACAAACAAAAATTTTGCTTTAATATTATAATAAATTGACATATTCTCAATAGTTTCTCTCTTGAAATTCTTTCCCTTTTTGTATGGAAATTTTGTTGTGAACACAACAAAACAAATCTATGTCTCTGTTCAATAAAACATATAGTTTGCGAGAGGCAACGCGTAAAACAAAATTACTTGAATCATTTTCCCGATGAAAATTAAACCAGAAATTAAAACATACACACAGAAATGAATATCGCTATGAAAATAAATAATGTAAAAAGATTTAAAAATGAACAAGATATATGTAAAATGACAATGAGAATGTAATAATTTATAAAAAATAAGTAAAACGATTAAGCAAACAAAGTATAACTGAGTATGGCGAAGTGCAGTGAGATAAGAGACAATGGATTGAGAACAAATTGAAAATAAACAAATAAAAATAATTTGTGCATCAAACAAAAAACCAATTAAATCAAACCATTTATGGGTATTATTTTTTTCAAAACTTTTGAATCAAAAGGTAAGGTCTTCTCTTAATAAATCTGTTTCTCTACTATTTTTACTTTAAAAAAGTGAATCTGCTGAGATGTTCACAAAAAAAAAAAATTGTTGTTGTTAAAAAAATAACTGATTATTATGAAATTAGTGTTGAAACCCTCTCACAAAGTTCTTAAAATAAATTGGAATTATCATTTTCCACCTGGAACAGGTAAAATATATAGCGTTTTGCATGTAAATAATTTGAGCAAAAATGAAAATTTCCCTGAAAGTACCTCAAATATCCATTATATCGACATTTAATAAGTGCATATCATCACTTTTGACCATAAATCAGCTGCTCAAGCTCGATTCGGAAGAAAATAGAACACAATTACTTTTCCGCACACACCTAGTGTGTAAGGTAAAGTATTGGAATCGGTCGAAAAATTAACACCCTCAAAAAACATGTTTTCTGGGTGTTTTAGGGGCCGGGGAACACGAATCTAGCGTTTTTTCGATGTCCGAATGTATGAGCGTGGTACGCTGTACGCTGTACGCTGTACGCAAAAATTTGTTAACACGATAACTTTCAAACAAGAAAAGTAATTCAAAATCTGACTTCACAGGATGATTGGGGGTGCCGAGGAATAGAAACCATTAGATTTTGAGCGACTTTGGTTGACAGAGTGAAGTGTCATGTCTGGTGTGATGCCCATGTCCATCCATGGGAAAAATTCAATTTTTCTTCCAAAAGTGATATTTAATGTATACTTAAACACTCAAAAATATGTATTGAGGGGTTTTTGGGTACGAGAAAACCGAATATGACGTTAGTTTTGCGATACAATCAACTTTCGAAACACTTTTCATACAAAAAATTCAAAAAATTTGGATTTTTGTATGGAAGCCATGCCTGTATGATATCGTAATGAGCTGAAACTTTGCACAGGTTATTTTTATCATACAAAAATACCATTTCGAGAGTTTGAAGACATTTCAACGCATATTAGGGGTACCTCCCGAACAAAAATTTGGTTTGGATTTTTCGCTCAAAAACGAAATTTTGTATGGGAAGTACCCTTAATATGCATTGAAATTTCTTCAAACTTTCAGAATGTTAACTTTTTGTGAAAAAAATAACCTCTGCAAATTTTCACAAGATTACGATATCATATAGGCATGGCTGCGATACAAAAATTCCCATTTTTAGTAGTTTTTGTATGAAAAGTGCTTCGAAAATTATTTGTATCGTAAAACTAATGTCAGATTCAGTTTTCTCGTGAATTCTTTGAGTAAAAGATTTGTAATAAATGCATGTTGTGGATCACGTTGCGGAAAAGTTCATCTTACGGATGTAAGACATTTTATTTTTATATAAGACTTTTGATTTTATACCAAAAATTGGAAATGACAATTTAAATTAGCCCAAAACTGTATAAACAACAAAAACATGATGGTTTTTCAACACCTTATGACATTTGCTCAATTTATATGCGCAGGGCTGGTCAAATATCAGCCAACTGAGTTTCGATGCAAAACATAAAAAATATATGAAATATATTCTTGAAACAAAGAACCAAGATACAAAAAAATAAAAATAAAAAATAAACATTTGATTAAAATAATAAAATCATTTCGAAAATAATTTTGAATGTATATTCAATCACAATCAATGGCAATGGAATGTGGATGAACGCATGAACAACAATATTGGTTGAATACTTGCACGATACAAATATACAACCAAAACACTTCACGAACGAGAAATACAATAACATGGCGGCAGATTGTTTTTCTCGTTTTTGTGTGTCGTTCATTCGTTCGTTTGCGTTTGTTGCTTTTATTTCTTTTTTAGTCTATGCTTGAACAAGGGCCATTGGTACGATGTACATGATGCGTCTCTGCCACACATACAAACAATTACGGTAGCTTCATAGCTTCAATATCGAAGGAAAAATTGTGTGGTCAATGTAAAAATTCAGTCTAAATCAATTTCGCAATGCGAGTAGTCGCAAAACCATAAAATCAAAATCCATTTATGCATATAGTTCTTTTTTTCAGTCGGAATGTTTATAGTGGCGTTTTAAGAAATATATATTGTATAATTTATTGTGTGGAGTTCAATAAAAAACGTAAACAATTGTCAACGAAGAAACAGTTCTTAATTTGTGTGTTTCCTACGAAAATATTTTTACTGCTTAAACGAAAGGCAAACGGGAAACAAAAATGAAAATAACACAACAGAGCAGAGTGCAACAAATTAATGAAGTGACGATTCCATAGACAAAAGTAAAATTAAAATAAACAGATAATTTTATACGTATTCGTCTATATTCTCTTCTATGTGCATTATTTCTTGTTTAGTGAAAATAATTTTGCGAAATTATTTCCGCTGGAGTAGTGTAAAAATACAACTTACTTTTTCTGTATTATCTGAAAAATATACTGAATTTACAAAGACAAAATAAAAACAGCTACAAAATTGGATATATTACGAAAATTCATAAGTGCCAAATAAAGTATAACTATCGCGGTAGATGAAATAAAAAAACACACACACACACACAAAAAAAACATATTAAGCACAAACTAAGAAAAAAATGTTTGGAGAAAAATTTAAAAACCAAAAATGAAAAATTGAAGTAAGTATGTACAATTTTTTAATGAAAAAAAAAGAAAACAAAGGTAATATAAAAGATTTTATTTTTTCGTATTTACACATAATGCACAATTTTCAACGAAATTTATTTAACGGAGAAAATATAAGGGACAACCTTCAATGACTTTCAATTCTAGGTACCGTTTTTAGGTTGTTTAATTAATGTGTGTATTTATTTGTTTTGAGAAAATAAATCTGAAGTATGTACAATTTTTTAATGAAAAAAAAGAAAACAAAGATTTTCATTATTTGTAGACATTATGCAAATTTTTCAAAAATAATTATTTAACGGAGAAGAAATAAGGGACAACCTTCAATGACTTTCAATTCTAGGTACCGTTTTTTAGGTTGTTCAATTAATGTGTGTATTTATTTGTTCATGTTCATGTATTTATCGTAGTTTAACTAGTTTGAATTACTTATCAATCCAGTTCATACCAATAACTAATCACATTCAAATATTGAAAAAGAAAATATTTGTGATGTAATTCTGGTGAATTTATTAAAAAAATTAACAAATCAAACGTGTTGTCATTGTATTGTGTGATTCAAATGCGTATGTTGCGTAAAGCGCGCCATTTTGATGTATGATTGTGTTATTGAACGTTTGCGTGTGTGCTTGTGTATACAAAGGCAATATTCGACATGTATGTAACCAGTTTGTGTGTTTGTAATTTCGACATAATACAGTATACTGCAAAGTCTTTGCTTTTTTTAATATTCTCATTTTTTTAGGTTCTATTTGTTGGTTTATCATCGCTTGGGCCTATAAATATGGTATTCTGTGTCGTGTTTTGCTGATCAAATGTTACAATTTTACACTTACAATTTTTCATTGTCATTTTGTAATCTTTTTTTTCTTTTCTTTTTAAGGCCTCCATTTTTCCGAATAGTATAATATTTTTTCATGCGTAATAATATAAACTTTGAAAGGCATGGTTTATTATTATTTTTTTCTGCGTCGTTTGTTTATATCATCCAAAAAGATCTCCTCTTCTTTCCTTTATCTATATGTAGTTTCAATATTCTGATTCTCGATCAATCTATTTCAATTTATTCTTTGGGTGTTTACTAGTTTTACGTATCAAATATGGCTATGCGTTTTTTTCTAGGAACGAACGCAATACAAATCTATGAACAGACGAACAAACAAAAACATATGAAAGTTCGTGGACGTGTCATTATATCGAGATAAAATACACATATTTTGACTTATTTATTACGTATTAGTACTGCACTGCTCAATAAATATTCATTCGGTAAAGTAGTGTCAAATTTTGTATGAAATCTATAACGTTATGATTTGCATTCGCAACTTATGCAAACGTCACATGTTAATCTTGCATCTTCTATGAGAACGTCGAACATTTATTTTCAATTTAAATGGATTTTCCGTCGAAGATCTATACCAATTTGTATCCCATCAAATCATGATTAGCAATCCAATTGATTTCGTATATATTTTCTCATCTCTTCAAAGCAAAATAATCTTCTCTTACTAAACAGAAACTGTATTGTTGTGAATAAATTCGTGTGTTGTTTTCTTTCTCAAAAGAGAACGACGTAAAAGCCAACAAAATAATTTCCCGCGCTATGAAAAAGGGACTTTGATAGATTTAAACAAAGTTTATGTATATTTACATATGTTATTTCATTAATTTGACAACTCTGCGGAATAAGCGTCTGTCGCACGCCGATGAGTGAGTTAGTATGTTTCGATCGTCAAACTTCAAGCAAATTTCGTTCTGGCAAATTCATTTGTTACGCATTACATTTTGTACTCCCCACGAAAGAACTTATATGCGTGCTGTACCCGCGTCGATTTTAGCGTCTCCAGTCGCGGCAAGAACGACTCACATATTGCTCACATCTGAAATGCTCTCACACATATACAGTTACCCTGTACATGCAGTGAAATTCGGTGGTTTTTTTATTTGTTCGCTAGATCGATGAATGAGTGTCCTTGAAGAGGTTTGAACTCTAGTGACTAGACGACTGTAGTGCGTGTGTGAAACACGCGCTTCGGTGTAGAACTTATTAGATACATTTAATTTTTAATCAAATAAAGAAAAGAACACATCATATGTTGATTCTCTATTCTTTGAAGAAGGAAAAAATAACACACGAGAAGTGAATTGATATTTTACTTTTCCGCACACCTAGTGTAGGAAAGGTATTGTATTAGGCCAAAAGATTAAAGTCACCCCAAAACATGTTTTCTATGCATATTTCATGTAGAAAACACGATTGGAGATGATTTTGGGGCATATTAATGTGCGTCGCTGTGGCGTGCAAAAGTTGTTAACACGAATAATCTTCTTCCAAAAACTCAATTCAAATTCTGACTTTACAGGATGATTTGGGACTACTAGGAGACGATTAGCTTTTGAGCAATATCTGTTGACCGGTGTAATTTTTTTTTGGTCCGGATGGAGTACCCGCAATCCATACATTTTACTTTTTTGATTATTTTTCAACCATTCTGGTGACACGATGGTTTCGTGCTCAGACATTTAAAATCTGACTTTACGGGATGATTGGGCACTACGAGGAATAGATCTGGTCAAATTTTCAACGACATTGATTGATCGGCGTAAGACTTAGACTCTTAGACTTATGAGAAAAATGCCTTAAAATGATACCGTAATGATTGTGGTACCGTAATGATGTGAAACTTTGAACATGCTATTTTTTTTTGATTGAAATTTCTTTAAACTTGGTGTGATTATTTATTTTGATGAAAAAATAATATTCACAAGTTTTCACGGTGATTTAAGTTACTGCAACCATACGTAGGCCATCATTTCAGTTTATTCCCAAAATTTCGGTTCCATGCGGAAAAGTCAGCTTGCGTACGTAAGCCTCTTTATATTAATCATTGTATTTGCTTAACAAAAAAGATGCTTTTGCGTTATTGATTTGCACACCACCTAATGAGTCAACTATAGTTCATGCATATATTTTCATTTTTTACCAAACACTTATATTCGAATGTATGAAAAAACAACATACATTTGGGTCATTGACATATCGTTTTTCAACCAACACGTGTAAGAGTAAAATGGATAATAATATATAGAAGCGTCATTTGTTCATTGTTCTCTTTGTTAAATTTTGTTGGAAGAACCAACAAAACTTTTGTTGTTTTGTTTTTTGTGGATGCTCATTGGAACAGTACTAGATTCAATTCTAATATGATAATGTTTAACCTCAATTTCTGTTATTATTATTTTATTATTTTTACGACACGGCTATATAAGCTTCCTTTGGATTAATAGAATAAAAAATAGTGTCACCAACAAAATGCCTTCGATATGTTGATACATGAAATATTATCAGGGTTACATTCAAGTTAACATATGTAAAGAAAGTTAGCTTTGTGCTTGTGCCACAGAGTTATATTCGCTCAAACAAAAAAGAAAACAAAAAAGAAAAAAAGAAAACAAGTCGTTGTGTATACAATAAAATGTCTTACATCCGTAAGATGAACTTTTCCGCACTGTGATCCGCAACATGCATTTATTACAAATCTTTTACTCAAAGAATTCACGGGAAAACTGAATCTGACATTAGTTTTACGATAAAAATAATTTTCGAAGCACTTTTCATACAAAAACTACTAAAAATGGGAATTTTTGTATCGGAGCCATGCCTATATGATATCGTAATAATGTGAAAATTTGCAGAGGTTATTTTTTTTACAAAAAGCTAACATTCTGAAAGCTTGAAGAAATTTCAATGCATATTAAGGGTTTTGTTTTTGAGCGAAAAATCCAAAATTTTGCTCGGGAGATACCCGTGGTTTGGTACAGGTGACCCAAAAAATTTCTCTTATCATTCTGAACAACACTATAGTGCATTATAGTGCATAATTTAAAAAAAAAATTAGCATTAAATTGGGATCAAGAACCAGTCTGGGTATAGATAGACGGGGGTGTATATAGGGGATAAGGGGTTTGGGTCAAAAAACTAATGATGCCAATCGATAGAGCACTGAAAACTACCTTGGGTGTAGGAACACACCCAGGGGGTATTTCACCCTCAATGACCTTAAATTGGGGTCGGCGTATAGGAACCAAAAGGGGGGTAAGGGGGTGTCAAATGATGCCAATCGATTGGGAATCGAAAATACCTTAAATTTAGGGGGGGTATTTGGAGGGTAGTTCTCCACCCCTAGCCCTTAAATCGGATCCTATATATATTTTTGGGATAAGAAAAATAGGTAGCCCCAAAATGTGAGGAGGGGTCGGTCGGAGGATCTAAACCAATGATGCCAATCGATAGAGCACTGAAAAATACCCCGGGTATGGGAGTAGGGTCATGGATGTTTTTCCACTCCAAAGACCTTAAATATGAGTCTGAAGTTTCAAACCCGAACTCCCCCCTAGGGGGGAGGGTTACGAGAGGGGGTCAAAACCAATGGTGCCAATCGATAGATCATCAAAAGTTACCCTAAGAATGACCATTTTCTGAAGATGCATTTCCAGTCCAAAAAACCTAACTGAGCGTTGGGAAAAGTAACCCCCCACGTGCGCATGTATGCATTACGATATCATACAGTCATGGCTTCCATACTATTGCTATTTATTTATTCACCGTCTGATCACAGACTGAATTTAACACACAATTTATACAATGTCGTTCACAATGAAACACCACCCGATCGAATATCCAGCTACCAGCCTTTTCGACTTCGGAGCAGCAGATATCGATTGTGTTCACTGTTTTTATTTCTATATAATACATAATGTTAAAAGTTAAATTTTTCAATGGTCAAATATCACATTTTCTAATTTGACAATATTGCTTCTAAAAATGTGTCTTGATGCCGATTCTAAAAATGTTTCCCTTATCAAGTTAAAATTTCTACAAGCTACGTAAAACGGCTGATTATGTGCATAATCAGATGAAAATGCCCTAACTCTAATCAGTTCTGAATTTCCCAAATTTCTTTGGTTTTCGTCATATTGCAGTCTTGTATATACAATTTTATTTCTAAGTGAACTAAACACTATTTTACCCAAAAGGAGATCATAAATTAAGAATACAGAGGCATTTATACGCCGTCTCCAAAGCGGTTGAATATTTAACACATTACATCTAAACTGATACGGTGGCAACACAAAATTTTCATCTCTCTGGTAAACAAATCTCAATGTCCATATCACAAAATCTTTCTGAATTGACTCTATTTTATTGGAATGGATACGGTGGTATGGTTGCCATACAATACTCGCGTACTCTAGCTTTGATCTAACTAGTGCACAGTATAACATTTTTGCAGATTCAATCGTGAACTTATTCTTTAATGTGCGTTTAATAAAACCCATTGCCCCATGTGCACTGGCTGTAATCGGGTCGATGTGATTGACAAATGTCAGCTTAGTGTCAAATACAACTTCCAGATCCTTGTGTACAGGGCTTTCAAAAGTGGATTTTAAATCAAAATCAAAAATAAGATCATTTGATTTGATGTACACTATTCAAATAAATCAAATCATTTGATTTTATTTGGATGGACGTGTATATTTTAAATCAAATGAAATGATTTGATTTATTTGAATAGTTTACATCAAATCAAATGATTTCAATTTTTATATTTATTTGATAAACAAATCAAATCAATCAGAATATATTTTAAAACATTTTTTCCATGTACAATTCATTTTGGTCACACTTTACACATTCGGGAGCTACTAATCGCTAAAGCGATGGAATTACCGATAGCTGAACACAATCTCGGTATAAATGAAAGAAATGACCCAGATGCGAATTCGAATGGTACTTTTTTCTGCTTATATTATAACTTATATATTTTTTTATGTTTCTTCACCAAATTGATATGAAATAATATTTATTTCAGAAAATAAAAAGTTCAAATACCGCTTCCCAAAGAAGAACTCATCCATTCAAACTGAATTAAATCGCGAGAGTCTAATAAGGGTGCAAGTCACAACTTATTTGAGAATTGAAGAAATCGAGCATGAAAACGACCTTTCACAACTAAGCGATTATCCATACATTCGTCATTTGTTCATCAAATACAACGACTTTTCTCATTTGCGAGTAAAACAAAATACTACTTAATCCGTAACAAATTTTCATAAAAAAATCTTTTTTTTTTTCAGAGATGATTTTGGGACCACAGCGGCAGTCTATGAACGACGATATGTTCGAAAAATTATTAATTTTAAAAGACTGTAAAGTGTGACCAAAATGAATTGTACATGGAAAAAATGTTTTAAAATATATTCTGATTGATTTGATTTGTTTATCAAATAAATATAAAAATTGAAATCATTTGATTTGATGTACACTATTCAAATAAATCAAATCATTTCATTTGATTTAAAATATACACGTCCATCCAAATAAAATCAAATGATTTATTTGATTTGAATAGTGTATTTCAAATCATGATTTTTTCCATGATTTGTTGATTTTACAAATCATTTGATTTCAAATCTGAAAGCCCTGCTTGTGTATGTTGATCCGTTCAAATGCATGTTGGCCGTTATTTTCAATACACCAGTCACTCAATTGATCGATAGCATTTTGAAAAATGATGGCTTCAATGGGCGATTGTATGGTTCTGATTAGTTTCAGATCATCTGCAAATAATAAAACAATTGCATTTGACACGGTTTCGACAATGACGCTAATAAAAACAATAAAAAGACAAGGTCCTAAGATACTTCCCACTGGTACTCCTGATGGCACAGTAAAGGTCTGTGACCTTCTTTCACCGATTTCAACAAACTGTGTTCGTTTTGTCAAATATCCATAGATCCATTTGACAATCCTTCGTCCGAATCCGAATCCCACCAGCTTCTGCACTAATTTTTTGTGGTTCACACGATCGAATGCTTTCTCAAAATCGGTGTACAGCACATCAGTTTGACATTTTTTGACCATAGAGTCTATTGTGAAATTCACCATTTGCAGCAAATTTGTCGATGTTGATCTATTTTTCACGAATCCATGTTGATTGTGGCTGATTTTCAAATTAACAAATGTTTCGATTTTGTTATACACAACAATTTCGAATAGTTTGGCTATTGTCGGTATTATCACTACTGGCCTGTAGTTCAAAGCACTGCTCTTTTTACCAGACTTGTATATTGGCACAATTCTGGAATTTTTCAATGCTCCCGGAACGTATCCTTGATGCAACGATTTACAAAATAGTGCTGTTAATGGTTTCGACAATGTGTGCGCGCAATTTTTCAACATTTTCGGTGAAATACCATCCGGACCTGCTCCCTTGTTCACATTGATCGATTTCAAAGCCCTTAAAACATCGACTTCTTTGATGTTAATGTCAAACGATAAGTCTTCACATTCACTCAGAATTTGGTCCAAGTCGATTCCGTCGCTTCGAGTATACTGACTTTTGAAAAAATCAGCAAAGATTTCGGCTTTCGATGTGTCTGTCTTCGCAGTTTCATTGTTGTATTCAACAATAGCCGGAATATCACTTCGTTTTCTTCTATCGTTCACAAATCACCAAAAGTGTTTTGGATTTGATCGAATTTGTGATTGTATGCGGTTTATGTACGACCTGAATAGTTGGCTTTGTAACTGTATGAACGAATCTGTGATGGTGTTATATTCGCCGAAATTGCCAGTCTCCCTTGCTCGTTTATACGCTTTTCTTCTGATGTTTTTCAAGTGTTTCAATGGTTTTGTGTACCAAGGCGGATCGGTGCTTTTTTGTACAGTGATCTTAGGCACAAATAAATCGATCGCCTCGTGTAGAACATTATCAAAAATTTGAAATGCATTCTCGAGGTCATCTATTCGATCCATTCGTGACAAAGTGTCTTTTGTAGCGAAGAATTCGTTCATCGTATCGAAATCAACCGAGTTGTATGCTAATATTTGTGATAATTGCGATGTTGTGTGTTCAATTTCATCCATTGTTATTTCAATTTTGATAGCTTTGTGCCAAATGTCCGATTTTATCAATGGTCTTGTTGATTCAATCAGTGACATTTCATAGAACTTGTTTGTGAACACAAGGTCCAGAACATTGCCAGCTTGATTTTCGACATTTGACAATTGGTGGAAACCGATATCGAACATCGTTTCAAATACGGCTATACCACCATCCGTTGACACATTCGTTGGCAAATAGTACTCACCGTCATCTGCTTTGATCCACTTAATATCCGGCTGGTTGAAGTCACCGCACACTAATACAATGTCATTATCATTGAAAGGGATCAACTTTACAATTTCGGCGAATTCCAAAAGTTTGGCTGTCTCGTGTAATGACCGAATGTACACCGAAAATATAAAAACATTACACGAATCGAGCACAATTTTTACACATACGTGTTCAAGGCCACTATTCTCCGAAAGAGTCAATTTCTCACTGATGAATTGGGTTTCAACTGCGATTAAAACACCACCACCGTCACAAAAAAAATTTTTGAAATTTTTGTATGAAAAATGTGTCTAAAGTTATTTTTATCGCAAAACTAACGTCATATTCGGTTTTCTCATACCCAAAAGTGTTTTTTTTAGTGTTTAAGAATACATTAAATATCACTTTTGGAAGAAAAATGGAATTTTTCCCATGGATGCCCATGGGCATCACACCAGACATGCCACTTCACTCTATCAACCAAAATCGCTCAAAATCTAATGGTTTCTAATCCTCGGCACCCCCAATCATCCTGTCAAGTCAGATTTTGAATTACTTTCCTTGTTTGAAAGTTATCGTGTTAACAAATTTTTGCGTACAGGGTACCACGCACATACATTCGGACATCGAAAAAACGCTAGATTCGTGTTCCCTGGCCCCAAAAACACCCAGAAAACACATTTTTGGGTGTTAATTTTTTTATTGATTCCAATACCTTACCTTACACACTAGGTGTGTGCGGAAAAGTAAAATACAAATTTGAGATATTTTCCTGTTTTGTGCGTAAAATTAAATTTCATTGCGGAATTGAATACTTCTTATAAATTTCTTTTTTTTTATTAATTTCACGAAATAGCATGGCGCATCCAGACCTTGTCAGTAATTTTGGTTTAACTATAAACGGTAGGTTCTTCAAAAACTTATTATATTTTCTCTAGTAAGTCTCTTTCAGTTATTTTATTGTAATCTTCAATCCTCAAATTTCTCTGAAAAAAAGATTTCAATAATAAACTCAAAAGAACTTGCTATAACATACTATGAGATAAAATTTGAACTGTCCTTTTTTCGTCTGAAAGCCAAAGCCTGAGATATTTGCAAAGATGAATAACTTTCAAGTAACTAAAAAAAAAGGTAATGAATGGATTAGAATTAGCATATGTAACATATGAATCGTTGCGGCGAAACAGTAGCTCTTATTTTTCTCCAAATAATACTGCAACATGAAGTTTTTTTCACACGGTTTATTTGTTGTAATACAACAAATAAACTAATCATAAAAAACTTTATGTTGCAGTATTATTTGGAGAAAAATAAGAGCTACTCTTTCGCCGCAACGATTCATATATGTAATAAGTCTTGAGAGTAAATTCAGACTTTTGCCATTCGAACAACAAACACACAATATTAAATTCGTTTTTATTGGTATAAACTATAAACCTTTATTCAACCATTGTCTTCAATTTTTCTCAGTATGCGTCAAACCATCAAAATTTTCTGAATGTTCTGGACAACCGATTTGTCGATTTCTTCCAACTATCTCTCAATCCATGCAACCAATTGTTGCACGTTTCCAGTGCACCTTGGACCTTAAAGGAAAAACCTTAACAGAAAAAAATAAATACACATTTTTACGTGCAGATATTTATAATTTAGTGTTATTTTATGATAAAGAAACGATGTTTGAAATTTCAGACGTAAAGCAGAAAAAATAATTACATGCAGAAATTTTAACCAACGAATATTTGAGCAATAAAAATTATTTGTTTAGTGTATGTCTAGCTGCATGGTTTAATATAGTTTTCTGACATAAAGCAAAAATAAAAGATCTTTTCCCATCAGTTGAGACACTTTTCTGTAAATCTCTTGCCAAAACCGTTTGAGACACTTTTCCGTAAATCCAATTTTCATGCCATCGCAAATGTATATAATTGAATGGTCTGTGTTTGACGGTATAGTAGGAGTCCTGTTAAGTGTCCTATGTGCATTGGTTGTCAAAATTTTTGGTTTATGTAGCGCAATAAACGCCCAAATTTACTCTCAAGACTGTGAGAAATTTACTTTTTAATGCAGTAATGTGCAAGGGGGGTAGGGGGTTTACCCCCACGTGATATTGACGCAAAATATACATATTTCATATGAATGTGGGTATTGCGTCACTTGGGGGACTGCCGTCCCCCGTGATTACGTTGTAATAGTAGTTTGCCCCTAGGGTGAAGTAAACACCTGAATTTACTCTCAAGACTATGTGTAATGTGTATATCGCTTTTATATGCAACCGTTTTTAGTCGCATTTCGACAAGCGATAGCATTTCGATATGCGATCAAACAATAAATTTTTTTTATTCTAGAGCTTTCAATTTTATCTACAAAAAACCGAAAAAAAATCTTTTTAAAATTTCATAGGTTTCACAGTATAGTTTCAAAATCTGGATCGTGAAAATAAATTGAACTTTTTATTAACTGTTGCAACAGATCAATCAAACGATATAAAAACAATACAAGGAACAATACAAGAAGCTTTCGCTAATTTGCCAAATTTTAACGAAATAAATCAAGAACTAAACAAACTAGCAGAATTATTCAAACAACAACAACAACAACAACAACAACAACAACAACAAGTAGATCAAAAGTTTCAAAACTTATCAAAGGAATTAGAAGGAGTAAGCCAGGGAATTCACAAGACTTTGGCAAATTTTGTTGTATTTAAACAAGAACTACAAAAACAAAACACAACCCTAGCAGCATTATACGAACAACTACAACAACGACAACAACAACAACAACAACAACAAGAAGAAGAAGAAGAACTTAAGCATAAACAACTACAAGAACAACAAGATCAAAAGTATAAAGAAATATTAAAAGCTCTACAAGAACAACAAGATCAAAAGTATAAGGAACTACTACAACAACAAGACCAAAAGTATAAAGAACTATTAAGCGTAATACTAGATCGACTACCACAAAAATCCGAACAATAACAACCCCAAGAAGGAGAACCCAAAAAAAAAGACACCGAAAATGAATGAAGCATTCGGAGCAACGTCAGCCACCATTGCAAAAGAAGGCTGGCTATACAAGCGCGGCGAACACATCAAAAATTGGCGACCAAGATATTTCATTTTACGTGACGATGGTTCCCTAATGGGCTACAAATCGAAACCAGATGGAACAAATTCCGTTGAACAGCTAAATAATTTCACTGTCAGAGGCTGTCAAATAATGAGTGTAGATCGTCCAAAACCATACACATTCATTATACGTGGATTACAATGGGCAAACGTCATCGAAAGAACATTTCATGTGGAAAGTGAACAAGAACGACAACAGTGGATGGAAGCCATTCGGTAAGTTTGCTAACTACAGATTATTCGCTTTACAAAATATTCATAATAAAAATTCTTCATTTTAATTTTTATTAAGATATGTGGCAAATCGTCTCAGTGAAATGTGTGAGACAGCGATGTCACCATTCAGCTCAACAGATATGACTGACGTAGATATGGCCTCTATAGCTGAAGACGAACTTTCTGAAAAGTTTTCCGTTCAGGGAATTGCGACTGGTAAAACATTAAAAATTACTTACTTATTATTATTGATTGTTTTACGATTATTTTTCGATTAGTTTCGATTATTTTAAATTAATTCTTTTCTTTTGTGATTCTCCCCTTAGGTAAAACAAGCGGAAAAACTAAAATTGTATGTTTTGTTTATTTGTACCATGCATAATTATTGAAAATTGTAGTAATTGTTTTCGTAAAATAATTTTTCTATAGACTCTGGAAAACTTTGAATTTTTAAAAGTCTTGGGTAAATTACCTTTCTATTATTTAATAATTGTTATTGATTCTTTTTCGATCATTTGTCGATTATTTTAAATTAATTCTATTCTTTTTTTTGTGATTTTCCCCTAGGTAAAGGAACATTCGGTAAAGTGATTTTGTGTCGTGAAAAGTCCACTGAGACTCTTTATGCCATTAAAATGTTGAAGAAAGATGTAGTCATACAAAAAGATGAAGTCGAACACACACTAACTGAAAATCGAGTATTGCGATCAACAAAACATCCTTTCATTATTGTAAGAAGAAACGTAAACCAGCTCTTTAAAATATATTTAATAATCGATGTATGTTTTCATCACTTTTAGTCGCTAAAATATTCATTTCAAACGTTACATCGTTTGTGCCTTGTGATGCAATATGTGAATGGTGGAGAGCTATTCTTTCACTTGAGTCGTGAGCGTGTATTTACAGAAGATCGAACCCGCTTTTATGGTGCTGAGATAATCTGTGCATTGGGCTATTTGCATTCGCAAGGGATCATTTATCGAGATTTAAAATTGGAAAATCTATTGCTTGACAAAGATGGTCATATAAAAATTGCCGATTTTGGTTTGTGCAAAGAGGAAATAACATATGGTTCAACAACGAAAACATTTTGTGGTACTCCTGAGTATTTGGCTCCCGAAGTATTAGAAGACAATGATTATGGATTGGCGGTTGATTGGTGGGTAAGTATCGAGAAAAGGATCACTTTTAAATTATTCAATAATTACAAAAAATACTTCATTATTTTTTTCATAGGGAACTGGAGTTGTTATGTATGAAATGATGTGTGGACGCTTGCCATTTTATAATCGCGACCACGATATCTTATTTTCATTGATTTTAGTCGAAGAAGTGAAATTCCCACGAAATTTGTCACTGGAAGCTCGCGGTCTGTTAAGTGGATTGTTAGCGAAAGCACCGAAAGATAGACTTGGCGGTGGACCGGATGATGTCAAAGAAATTATGGCTCATGCGTTCTTTGCCTCAATTAATTGGAAAGAATTAGAAAATAAGAAAATTACGCCACCGTTCAAGCCCCAAGTCACTAATGACACCGACACCAGATATTTTGACTCAGAATTTACCGGTGAAAGCGTCGAACTTACGCCACCCGACAATTCAGGACCATTGGGTGCAATTCAAGAAGAACCGTATTTTTCACAAGTATTCACAATTTAATTATTATTTTTTTTACATGAATTAAAAATAATATATTTTAATATGATTTTCATTCTATCAAATAGTTCAGTTACCAGGACTCTGCATCAACACTTGGCACATCGGTGCATTTTTGTAGCTCAGCTACCGGCACCGGTATTCTAATGCAATAGATCTGTTAAACACTTTTTTTTTTCAACAAAATTTTCAATGTCATTCGAATTGTTGCTGCATAATTTCGGAATGGATATGGATTTACTAAGCTGAGAGTGCCTCATTGCCATTTTGGTTCCAAATCGAATGACAATTGCACCAAAACTTTTTAGACGAGGTACATTTTATTCATTTAGTCCTCTTTTTTAAAAAAAAACTGCTTTTCATTCTTCATATTTTTTTTAGATCTGATACATTATTTTAGATAATATTTTAATGGGAAATGAATTGTTCCTTTTACAGAAACTCATCACGGCAAGCAAATATAAGGCATCCAGTCAATTCTACATACCGAAAAAAAGAGGAGATACCAAGCGCCTGCCCGATCAAGACTCTTTTTATACAAGAGATAGTGAATCCCATCACCATCACAATCATATATCATCAAGAAATAACTACAAAGAAATCCTATATACACACACGCAAACAAACAAACACACACTTCCAAAAGTGCTAATATAAATTAATTTTAAGTGAGATAACAATGATAATTTAGCTTGGAAAATTTATTATTTGAAAGATAGAAACAAGGATTGATTCATCGACTACTCATAAGAAATGGAATTTTGTCTTAATGTTGACTTCAACCTTAAGTTTAGAAGAAGAAAAATACAAATTTATAGAAATTATCAGATACGTTTGTCAAAATGTCACTGTCAATAAATAGTTAGTTATTCTATCTCTACTGCGTTTCATTTATTATTATTTTTACCAAACAATTGATTGAATAATAGCCCATAATAGCATTAATACTAAGAAAGTGTCAAATAATTGGGTATCTTTTTACTCAACAGAACAAAGGAAACTTATTGAATTATTCAAAAATACTTTATTAATACATCAGTTATAATATTCACGTTTTCTTTGCTAAATGAAAGATGTTAAATAATAAAAAAAAAACATATTTTTAATGACTTTTAATGTGTTTTTGAAATTGACCGCGCAAAAAATGACAGCGTTATATTTGCGTACATTTTTTGTATAAAATGTCAATGTCAAAGGAAAAGCTTAACCTCAATTAACAGTGCTCATGTAAACGAAGCCGATCGTTTCATCGTTTGAAAATATACTTTATTTTGAAATGTTTGTTCGAAAACAATCGATCAGCTGTCCCAACTCCTTTCCATTTCCATTCAAACCGTATTCAATTCAAAATAAATTCATGCGGGCATTATATTCAGTGATTGAAAATCGTAAAATTGGTATATTTGAGTCACCAACTGGAACTGGAAAAACATTAAGGTAGGGGTAACAAGTATTTGATTAAAATTATTATTTGATTGTGGTGGCTTACTTACAGTTTAATGTGCAGTGCTTTGAAATGGCTATCAGATCACCATGAATTAAATCGAGTAGATCTAATGGAAACAATTCAAAATATGGAAAAAGAAATCAAAGCTGGCGAAGCAGAAAACGCCAAAAGTGATGATTGGTTGGCTGGTCAGTATGGTTTATTGGAAAAGAAAGAGCAATTAAATAAACTACAAGAACAATTGAAAGCAATGGACGAATACGATCATAAAATCATTGAAATGAGAAAAAAATGGAAAGACCAACTGAAAATAAAATCGCTTAAAAAGTTCAAAGAATCACGTTCAAATGATTTACTAGAGAATGATTATAACAAGACTGAACCAGTTGACAATGATGACGAATTTGTAATTGAAGACAACGATGGCGATGGGTAAGATTACTATTCCATTACCATAATTGAAATGTTAATCTGATCCAATCCTTCGATTCATTTTCCATTCTATTTTATTATCATCATTCACATTAATCTTTATACTTTCGTCATATGTTTCCATTACTTCCATTACTTATTGATTAATTTCCATTATTCCAATAATTTATTTCCATTTTTATTTTCTGATTAACCCTAGGTACGAGCAAGATGAAATAGAAGATTTACTAGAAAATCAGTTTCAAAATACAAAAGTAGTATTCTTAAATGCCATTTATATAGTAAGTGGATAATGGAAATTTTTGTTTTATTTTAGATTTATTTCTGCAGTCGTACACATTCACAACTATCGCAAGTTGTAAATGAACTGAAAAAGACCGTTTATGGTAATAAAATTCGATTGATTCAATTGGCGTCACGCCAACAGCTTTGTATAAATACTGAAGTGCGATCATTAAAGTCAAATGCTTTGATTAATGAACGTTGCTTGGAACTGAAAAAAAGAAAATCAAATCAAACTTGTTGCCAATCTACACAAACGGATCAAGAGGGACATGTTACAAAGAAATCAAAAGTGATGAAACCAAGTACGTCGTGTCCATTTTATAGCCAAGATGCTATTGCAAATGTTTCGCACAATGCACTCTATAACTCTGATTCAATTATGGATATTGAAGATTTGCTTCGAACAGCGAAAACTGAAAAGGGATGCCCTTACTATGCAGCTCGGGCAGCACAGGTCGATGCGGAGGTTGGAAAAATTCGTATTATTTTTTCTGGATTTAGTCACCCGTTCCAAAAACAATCGAAAAAAACACCACATTTTTAATTGCAGGTTGTGATGCTACCATATCAGATGCTGCTTCATAAAAAAACTCGCGAACAATTGGATATAAATATCAAAGATAGTGTTGTCATCATTGATGAAGCCCATAATCTTCTTGATACAATTGCTAGCATTCACAGTGCCGAAATCACCGCTGATCAGTTGCATCGCATCTATCAACAACTAAATGCATACAAAACAAAATATTTGGATAGATTTAGTACGAGAAATCTGCTCCGTTTAAATCAATTAATTTTCATAGCCAATCGATTCATGACGATCATGAGACCAACAAAACAATCTCAAATCGATGAAAAGGTAGAATTTACATCACAAATGATGCTAACCCATGAACTTCTCGATGATATTAATATTTCGTATAGTAATCTATTGGAAATTGTAAAATTTTGTGAAGAAACACGCTTGGCACAAAAAATCAACGGTTTTGCGCTACAATACGCTACTGTAGAGGTCTCTGTACAACCAAAATCCGATAAAAAAAACCCAGCACATTTATGTTATCTCCAGGAGTTGTCCCATAAACAGTCGAGTAAAAATCAAAACCAAACACAAAACCGAAATGAAGAATCAACATTGGAAACTGAAAAACCACTAGATAATACAAATCATTTGGGCTCAGCGTCTTTAATTCGAATATTTCTAAGTTTTTTGGAAGCATTGTTGGAAAAATCGACATCAACAGATGGTCGAATCTTAATTTCGAAACATCGAACAATTCAATCAAAAACATTTATGAAATACTTGTTATTAAATGCAAGTGAACCATTTGCTGAATTATTGAATGAATGTCGTTCTGTCATTGTAGCCGGTGGTACAATGCAACCCACAACTGAATTCAAGACACAGCTATTTCAAAACGTCATAGATCGAATCGAAGAGCACTTTTATGGGCATGTCGTTGCATCAGAAGCCATACTACCAATAGTGGTACCAAAAGGTCCCAGAAACTCATCATTTTTGTTCAATTATATGAATCGAGGAAACATGGAAATGGTAAGTTTATTTAGATCTCTGAATATGTTTATTTAAAGTACAAAGTATTTTTTGGTGGAAAATTTATGCAATTGCCAAGGCATCAGTTTGAGGTTCATGACTTAACTGTGTTTGTAAGTTTGACAATTTATTTTTGAGTGCCTTTACACCCATCAAAACGATATTTTCTGGTTTCAATGCACCACTTGATTCCACGTTCAAGAAGAACTTATTCGGTTTGGCTTCCCAATTAAATTCGGCTTCATATTGATCTTCTTCCAATTCGGTGTGTTCACTTTTCGGCCACTCGTCTGGCTTCGGATAGAGTGTGTGACGCATTGAATTATCTGGGTCATATTCAAATGAAACGCCGGCTGAAATTTGTCATAAATTGATATGTTAGTTTTAATGTTCATAGATTTATTCCATTTATTCTTAAAGGAAATTAACCTGTGGGATTCCATTTGGCGTGTTCCTTACCTTCAAATTAGTAAAAACAAATAAATATAAAGTTTGTTTTTTGGTTTCAATGGTGGCATTCAAATATATTTTAAAAAAAGTTGTGATATTGAAAAAAAAAACTGACATTCATGAATAGTTTTTCATTTGTGCACTCTGTGGGTAGAAACAAAGTTTCAAATCTTTCTGAATATAAAATCGAAATGCTTAAATTTCTTAAAAAATTTGAGTCAATTCAAGTTTCACGGCGTTATCCTTACCAAATCCCTTCTTTGCGTACGCACGTAGCTTTAATTCCTGTCCTTTTCGCAACTTGATGATTAGAATTTCTTCGTTGTTATCACCATATTCATTTTCTTCTTCCTCGCGACGTCGTGATGGCACTGGAACGACTCGTGGATCACTTGATTTCAAATCGGCCGTTGTGACATGTCGAGTTTGTTCATCATCACATTTCACGTCCAATGTAAATTCAACGCTACATTCGGTGCAAAAATCAATGCATGAACATTCACGAGTATTCTGCATTTGATCAACGACATCGTCCGAAATCAATGGAATTAAACCAATACGATGAGCCAGAAATTCATCAGCCAAAACCGTGGAGTTTGCTTCAAATTGAACCCAATCAATTGCCATTGTCGGCGTTTCAGCAATGAATATACGACGCAAGCTATTTGCAATGCTTAAATCGGTGTCTTCAATCACAAATTTAACATTTTCTTCGGATAGATCTGTAATCTGTACTGATGGTGTATTGGCATAAGGCATTTTTACTACTATTTTATTAAACTTTTTTTGAAATGAAATAATATTTTAAAGGATAACTTATTTTGATAGTAACAATCAAATACAACTTGCGTGCAAATGTGCGTCGTTTTAGATGACATTTGACAATTCTTGTATTATGACAGTGTGAACATAGGCTCGTTTACATTATATCAAAGAATTAACTTGAACGTCAATAGATGGCGTTATCAAAGAGTAATTGAAAATATGTACATTTTCATATAATTATTTTTTTTCACTAATTAAAAAACCTTTTTTTATTCTTCTTTTACTTATAATTTTATTCCATTCTTTCATTTCAGTTAGCTGATTTAACAATGGTGATTCAAAATATTTGTAGTGTTGTTCCAGCCGGCATTGTTTGCTTTTTCACATCTTACGATGTAATGGACAACTTTTATTATCACCTAATAGAATCCAAGTCACTTGAACGTATTGAAAAAAAGAAGAAAGTATTCAAAGAGCCTCGGTCCGGTGGCCATCAAACCGAAAAAATGTTGTCAGACTACACCAAAGCAGTAAAATCAGCTTCCAAATGTGTTGAAGCTGGACAACAAACTGGTGCACTATTGATGAGTGTCGTCGGTGGGAAGCTAAGTGAAGGTTTGAATTTCTCCGATGATTTGGGACGTTGTGTTTGTATTGTGGGGTTACCTTTTCCAAATAAAACAAATCCGGAATTGGCTGAAAAAATGAAATACCTAGATAAAATCTCTCTCGAGAACAATAAAACTGATAAAAGTGTCAAGACATTTTCAAGTAGTGAATATTACGAAAATTTGTGTATGAAAGCAGTGAACCAATGCATTGGTCGAGCTATTCGACACATCAATGATTATGCAAGTGTTTTATTAATTGATGAACGATATCAACAGGAACGCATCAAAATAAAACTTCCCAAATGGATCCAAACGTCATTACAAGTACCAGCACATTTCGGCGGTGTACAAGGCTCACTCGTCAAGTTTTTCAAACAGAAAAAATAAGCAACATTTAATTTAATTCTAACAAGTATAACGAATGTCTGTGCTTTACTGTTATATATTAAGAAAATAAATGAAATAAAACACAAAACCCAGTTTTCTCAGTAAATTATGGCATTTTTATTATTAATTCAAAATAATAATAAGTAAGGAAAACGTTTAAGGTCAAAATGCAAAAGGACATGAACTTTATTTCTACCATTTATAAAATCAAAAAAGAATTGTATCGCTCCAAAGTAAACCTGTACGATTTTTTATAAAACTCTTCTAAAGAATATTTATCATTATTTTTTATAAACAAATTAATATCATTTTCACACTTATTTTTAATTTCACATCAACATCAATGTACGTAATAAAAAAAATTAAAAATTTTGTGAGTTTTAGTTTTTTTTCTTAACTCAACATTTGTAACAAACGATCGAAATAGGAAGTAACGAATTTTATCTGAGAAAGAAAAAATGGTACATCCGATTACTTATGTTACAATTAATATTCTTATCATTTTGAGAGCGAACACGTTCAAGGCCAGCGTTTTTTCTATATGTCATCTTCTTAACTTTAACTCAGTGGCATTTTCAGTTTGGTCTAATTTGTTTTATTTGTTGAAATATACGGCTGATTTATAAACAATTAATCGCTTTTAATAACTTTAATCTGAAACTAGATTATATATTTATGGCTTTCTCTTGTAACAAACTTGCAAATTGGTTCGCGTTGATTTAAAACACACTTAAATTGAGTTTTATACAAATTGTTGAATATATAACTATTAGATTTTATTTCGCATATTTTTTGCACAAGTCAAAAATTTGCAAATATATCAGAAAGTTTTTGGAAAATAACAAAACTACAAATAAAATTTTATATTACAATATTTTCAAAAATGTATTGAATTTACTCAAAAAAAAAAACAATTATTTTCAAAAAATGTATGTATTTGAATCAAAATCGTTGTTTATTATATTTCTTATTATATCCGTCATTTCTGTGGAAATTCAAAAATGAATAGAAGATTTGATTTGATGAATGTTTACATTCAATGAGGTAATTGTGTTTAATAAACAAATATATAGTTCATTCAAAATATAAAGTTTGTTATTTGGTTTCAATGGTGACATTCAAATATATAAAAAAAAGTTGTGATATTGAAAAAAACTGACATTCATGAATAGTTTTTCACTTGTGCACTCTGTGGGTAGAAACAAAGTTTCAAATATTTCTGAATATAAAATTGAAATGCTTAAATTTCTTAAAAAATTTAAGTCAACTCAAGTTTCACGGCAACATTGTGGATATTTATTTACTAGTGTTTAAATGTCAATGTTATAGGTCTATAACAACAATTGTATGACCTTTCACATTCTCTCGTTTAAACAAGCCTTTATTTATCTTTTAAAAAATTCAGTTGCATTGAAAAAAAATTTCTTTATGCATATATATATATATATTGAATTCTATGGAATTCTAATTGTTTTCATAAACTAGAGTTCACTCATCATCATTTTCAGCAGTGAATACATCGTGCTAAGATATTAGTTTGTCCTATGCAGTAGCTGCTACTCAATAGGCGCTACGTTTCGGCTAAAGTCAGAGCTGCTCTTTATCGCTGTGTGTGTACTGTTGTATACTCACAAATGAATGGGTAAGAATAATCATGAGCTCCAAACTTTCTTTAAAAAAATACTGATACAAGACGATGAATTAAAATAAATGAGATACTAACTCGCGTTTAAAATAAATCTGGTACTTGAAAGATATTGAAAATAAAAGTGGTATGTATTACATTTATTTTCAATTTGTTCAAGTATCAAATTTATTTTCAATTCTGGCTAGTATCTCATTTATTTTAACTCATTTGTGCATTATACCGAGTCTCCGAGAGTTTCATATAAGCCTTCCCATGTAGATGGTAAAAAATCGTGAAAAATGAAAAAAATAATTAATTTTTTTTTCTTCGATTTACAAATACTATTCAATTTTCTGTACCATCTGGTGAAATCAGAATGAAAAAAATCGCATTCCTTATCACCCAAATCA